TCTTTTACTGAAGTATTCATAAATACATCTAATAAAATGTAATCTACAGCGCATATGATTTTACGAAAACAGCACAAATTGTTTATCTGCTATAAATCCCAATATTAATTAATATTATAGCTAGACCCTCGCGCGGTCAGTACGAGCTTAATTAAACTGTCAAAATTAAACCCTCTTTAAAATTCAATAACATGCATGTAAATTAAGTGTGGATATTATCTACACGTAATTTTGATTTAAGATTAAAATCCCTAGATAATAATAAGATAGCACACACAAACTCATACTCGTTTACAAAGTCCACGTCTTTCGTTAGTCTTCTAGCATTTAAATTACATTTGATTTGCGGCATTTTTGGACATCAGAGATTTCTATTTTCATTATTTTTAAATGGAAATGAGAGAGGATATTCTAATGCAAACATACATTAGCGCCGTAAAGTACAAAGACAAAACTTCACAGAAATATTACAAAGACCCACAATGTTATCACGCTAGAGGACTGAGGTCGGCTATAAAGAACTACGCTAACACAGCGTCATAAAATATGTAGCGGCGTTTAGCTTTATAAACCACAACAGGTTTCCATAAACCATTATAAAGCTGCTAGCTTTCGCCCGCGATCCCGCCCGCTTGGTATTAAAAAACAAAAGAAAGTAGCCTATGTGTCGTTCCAGATTCTGCTCTACATCTATGCCAAATTTCATCCAGATCCTTTCAGCCGTTTAGACTACAAACTCTAACAAACATCCATCCTTCTAAACTTTCACAATTATAATATTAGTTAGATATAAAACATAACCTATTTCCATATTACTAAACGTTCAAATTTAATTAAATAAATAGATGAAATGTCAACAAAAAGTCAGTATTGTAAGATATTGCTTTAACCTTTTTTTTATTGTTACAATTAATTATAAAAATAATAAATAAATTCGATGAAAATAAGTTAATTGTCTGTGTAGGAATATATCTCGTGTGATTGTTCCCAAGTTAAATTAAGAAGATAAAGGATTTTATAATACTGTGCGCGATGGACTGTGGATGGCACCGAGAACTCCCTCTTCATGTGTCTAGAAAGTAAATGATATTGTGGACGTCATCAATTTATTTAGGTTAAGTGGTAAACTATTTTACGTTTAAACTATTCTGCAATTCTGTAAGTTAAAGAAAGAAGGTAATTAAATCCGAAACATTGTAGGTAACGAAAATAAGGAACATTAAAAGTTATAAAATAAAAATTTATATGTTGAGCTCATTTTTAACAGTCCAATTTACATGTAGTTGCAAATGTAAGAGATATTATGCGCTAGTTTCGGAGCTATGATTACAATCTCATGAAAGATGCAGCCGTTCTAACACGCTTCTTTATTATAAAACCACTCCTTCAACGTGACGACCTATTTGCAGCGGATTTAAATAGCGCTATCTAGACAATTTACTCCATTGAATTATTAACGATATATTAAATTCCATTTCCGTTTGTAAAACTATATTTGAATAAAAGATAAGCTTAGTAATAGAGAAAGGAGTTAATAAACTTGTTAAAAACTCAACAACTTATCTGTTTAAAAAAAAGGCAGAGCTTAATACACCTTTATCTAAAATAGAAAATGTATCAATAAAGCTATTCAAGCTAGTTTTGCTAAATAAACAATAAGTTTCCGTCTGGCTCCGAATACAATGCTTTCCGGCTGATGGCTCTAAAAATATTTCACTTCTCGAATTGGCTCAAGCCAGACGCGTCAAGTGACAGTTGAACTGATGTATTTTCTAATGAAGCCGAGCACCGAATATGATACTATTCTCTATAAGGATTGCAGTTTACTTTTGCAATAACTGAAGTCTGTTTCCAGTAGACAATACTAAAATAGATTTCGATTACAGCAATCATTTGTTTTCTTTCTTCTCTCTCCTGTGCGTCGCTACTAGGGATGGGTATTAGTTAATTCAACCGTTAATGAACCTTTCACGCTTCAATTGGTAACCGATTTTCGTTCAACTAGTTGTTGTCACTCTTTAATATGAAAACATTTTTAAGAATATATTTGAATCTGTTTTTAAATGCTTTGTATCTGTAATCTAATTTATCCTCATATTCGTCAACACAAGCTCTAGTGTAGAATTGCAAAATTAGTTCGGTCTCTGCGGAGCGCATACAATTATTCATTAGCAGAATAA